TTGATACGAGAGAAATCATTTCTGAGGTTGAAAATTTTAGGATTAATTGACAATATTCAGATATTAATTATTTAATTATTTAAGATTTTTATAAATAACAAGATTAATTATATATTATATATTAAGAGTATATGACTTATATCATTAATTATAAATAAATTAAAATTTGTTGATAAGAACATGCAAAATTAATTAATTGGTTTTCATAATTCGGCCGGTTCAAGTTTTGAAAACTTAAAAAAAAATTATATGCTTTACAGCTGTTTTCATTATTTTTGGGACATTTGGTAAAAAAAACTGCCTGAATGATTGTTTAGCCAATTCGATAAGTTTTGATTTCAGTAATGATTGATTATGTAATCATGTATATATATATTTTCTAAATGAAAAAATGAGTAATGTGCAGGGAAAACTTGTAAGCATCAACCTTTTCAATAAGAGATGCAAGTGATAATTAGTTTGATCAAATTTGAATGTCATTAAAAAAAGATTCATTAGTATTTATTTGTATAATATATTTATATTAAAGGTTTGTTTTAAATTTGAAATCTTTTTTATATTTTTTGTTAAGATCTGTTAATTGAAAATAAATTATTCTTGAAACATACTTTAGAAATTTTAGAATCAATTAATTGTTAATTTATTTCTATTGTTAAAAGGAAATTTGACATACTTACAGAAACAAAAATATATGATGAATTGTTACTTGAAAATACTAAATGTTATAAAATGTTGTATCACAAAAGATACAAAATAATTTGGTAAAATTAAGGTGCGAGTGTGAGGTTTTGTAAAAGAAACAGAAGAAAGCATGTTGTTATATTTAGTAAATCAATAAAACTTTTTATTAGGATTATTGCATCTCTCTCTTATATGACAAAAAAAAGATATGTTTTATACAAAAAAAGATAATATAGAGACTCAAGATTAAATATTTTTTTACTAATTTTTAATAGTTTTAGATCTGCTATTGTAATTAGAATTTTGAATAACCTTCTATAATATAAATAATAGTCTAATTTAGTAGATCTACTCTAACAAATGATAATTGTTTTTAATTTTGTTTTATTACAGCATTGTTTTAGATAAATAACTTGGTATTTAAGTTTTATAAAATGAAATTAATATACAATTGTTTTGCTTATTCTAATAATATTGTTGTTACAAGAGATATAAAATAATGCAAACACAAGATTAGATCAACTTTGAAACTTGTTTTTAGTTTTAATAAAATAAATAAATAATTGCTACAACTTATTTATAATATATTCTAATATTGAACTAAAAAAATTTGTAAATTAATAAATAAATTTTATTTTTTTTTTTAAAAAAAAGATCTTTTCTCTGTTTCTTTTATTAATTTGCTAATTATATATATATATAATATATATAATAAAAAAATTAAATATTCTCATATAATTTATATAACTCTTTTTATAAATCCATTGTACAAAAATTAACTAAAAAAATTGTTCTTTTAAAAACATATATAATTATTTATTTTACTAAAAAATATATCTTGAACTTTTAAATAAACGTATTTAGCTTACAATTTACATATATTTTGAAAATTTTATAGTTTTAAGTCTTAAATCATTAAGAAAACTGTATTAATAGTCTTTAATTTTTAGTTTTAATAATTTAATATTTTTGTAGTTTTTATTACTACAATCTGTTTTATATGCTTAAGCAAAATTGTAATACATATTTGTTTAGTCAAAACAACCTTAGTTAAAGAGTTTTGACTAAATATTTATCAAACTATAACAAATTTATCTTTTACTCTTTATAAAAACTCTTTTTCTATTTTTTTCCCCTATTTTATTCCTTTTTTATTATATATTTTTTTTGTATAATTATACTATTATCTATCAGATTACTATGATTAGGTTGTAAAATAACATGTGTTATTTTGCAAAAAAAAGTTTATTTTTAGTTATTTAGCAAAAATTAATAGCTTATTTAAGTTATTTAACAAAAAAATATAGTTTATTTTGGTTATTTAGTAAAAGTAGTTATCAAGTTACAAAATTGATACTTGGGCCTAATGAAACAAAATATCATATAAATTTTTAGGTTTTTTAATTCTCTTGGTCAGTTAAAGCATATATTATAAGTTTCCAAATTTTTAAAATTCTGTTTATTAGTGATTCATATAAAATAAGTTTTCAGGTTTTTAAATTTCTATTTATTAGTGAATCATATAAAATAGGTTTCTGCATTTTTAAATTTTTCTGTTTTTTAAAACTTTATTTATTTGCAAAATATATAAAATATTTTAAAATTCTATTTATTAGTAAATTTATATAATATAGGTTTTTATGTTTTTAAAACCTATTTATTAACAAATATTATATCTAATTTATATTAATATGCTCTGCAATTATATAATAATTTTTAATAATTTAGATATCTAAATTATTCTTATTATTTTTTTGAGGCTTATAAAAATTAACTTCTTGAGTCTTATCTTTTTGAAATGTTTTATAAATTATTTAACAACTACTAATTGTAGTTTTTTTTATAGCATTAGTATGTAATATTAGATTTGCTTTAGTAGTCTTGCATAAAGGTTAACAAAATAACTTAATTATATTAGGATTAAGCATAGATGTTGGCTTAAAAAAAAATATTAATATTTATATATACACTATAAGTATACATTATTTACCAATTTGCTGAATAATGATGTTATCCGACAATTTGTGATCATGGCCCGATTTACCCAGGACCTATAAACACTTTTTAGACCTAAAAAAAAAGATTGCAGATTAGTATAAAAATCATTTTTCTTCTCATAGCAAAAAAAAAAAAAAAAAATTCTATTTGAAAATACTTTGACATTTGGTCAATTTGAGCTGTTTTTGTTAAAAGTTCATGTTTGAAGTTCTGGTGTGGAAGCCTTGTGTGTTGAAAGTCATGGTGTTTGAAATTGTGTCGAAATTTGATTACAGCAACGCCTATTACAATAAAGCCATAACAGCAACCTTATTAAAGCCATAACAACAACATTCATTAAAGCCATAACAGTAATGCCTATTAAAGCTATAACAGCAACACTCTTTAAAGCTGTAACAGCAGCTCCTATTATAGTAAACCATAATAGCAACCCCATTAAAGCTTATAAAAGAAATGCCCAAAACGAAACTAGCAGCAGTGAAAGGTAGCAAGACGAAGGTAAAAAAATATATTTATTTGTTTTTTTTTTGTTTTCTGTTTTATATAGAAAAACTATATTAATGTATTGTTTTATTAGCATGTTAAATACATGGAACCTTCTATTATTGATCTTAAAGAACTTTGTGAAAATGCCAAGGTCAAAACTACCTATAAAGCGATGCAAATGTAGATCAGGGCTTTGGAGGAGTTCTGTTCTGAAGTAGGATATGAAGGAAAGATCGAAGAAGTTAGTTCTAAAGCTGTGTTAGAAGATCAGCTTTCTAAATTCGTATATGCAATGAAAAGAAAGGACAGTAGAGAATATCATGCAAGTTCGGTAAGGAGCTGCTTGGCAGCAATTTGGTGGCATCTCAACATGCATTCAGTTATGGAAAAGCCAGTTGATATACTTAATCCAAAGGTGTACTTCGATCTAAACCAAGTAATCAATAGAAAGATGAAGGATCTCTCTGCACAAGGCTTGGGGAAATGTGTTGGGGCTGATGGGCTGACGTTGAGTAAGGTTGAGCAAATCTTGGAACATCCTGTGATGCAACGTAACACACCAGAAGGCTTGTTACAAAGGATTTTTTTTATAATGCAACACTGTTGGCGTTACGTGGAGGTGAACATTATACCCTTCAAATCAATAGTTTTATTAAGCGTTTTGATGGTGGTATTGATGTAAAATTGTTTAAATCAAAAACAAACCAACGAGGGTTTGAAAACTACAATGCGCAAGCAGAAGCAATCAGTTTGCCCAACATTAAAAGCATCATTGATGATTATGAGTTTTACTTTATCAAGCATCCAATGATGACTGTTACAAATTTTTATTTAATTCCCATGCTGTTCAACTCAGATAAAGTTTTTTTGTTAATCATGTAATTTTTTTATTTATATGTATATTTACTAACTGCTTTGTGGTAGTGGAATTTAATAGACAATGGTATTACATTTGTGCTCTTGGTAAGTGAAAGTTAAGAGAATATTTTAGAGGTATATGTGAGATTACAGGCATTCAAATAGGAATATGCAATATTTCAAATCACTTAGGAAGAAAACCGCCATGCAATTGTTGAAAAAGCTTGGTTACTCTAATTTGGTTGTAATGTCAATTACAAGGCACAAGTCTCAAAAAGGTCTCACCACATATGAATGCCCAAAATGTGTAATGCAACATGAAGGCTTGAGTGGATTTTTCAATGCATTGAAACAAGTATCAAAAGGTATGATATTTGTCTCTATTAAGATTTTTTTAATATGTTTTGTAATTTTTTTTTTTTTTTATATATAAAGCCCCTCATGATCATGAAAATGATGCCCCTAGTGACCATGAAAATGATGCCCCCAGCGATCATAAAAATGATGCCCCCAATGACCATGAAAATAATACCCCCAGCGACCATAAAAGTGATACCCCCAATAGTCATGAAAATGATGCCCCTAATAATCATGCTGCCCCACCTCCAAAAGCCATCGAAAAGTGGCCCCAGTAACAGGTGATTTTTCTCTTGCAAGTTCATTCATTAGACGAACTGATTCCCAAATGTCGTTGATAAATGCGCTCAATAATCTTGAAGTAATTTCTGAAGAACTGAGTAATGCATTGACTGAGTGTGATGTGAACATTCTTGATATAAATAGAAAAAAAGAGAAAGCCAAGGGCATGGATAGTCGAAAAGAGGTTAATAAGAGTGAAAAAGATCTTAAAAATGAGTTTTTTGAAAAATTTTTTGCTAGTAGTACTTTTAATAATTGTACTTTTAATTTTTAAATATTAAAATTGCATTTTAATTAATAAATTCATTTGTAATTGCTTAATTTGCATAAATATTATCACTTAAATTATAACAATTATGAATAATTTTGGCCCGAATATTGGTTATTTGCTGAATAATATTGACACATGTATTTTGTTATTTGCACAAATTGTAAATATTCAGCAATATGTCATTTTGCGTTAAAAAATAACAGTACGTTGCTACTCCATGATCATATGAGTTTGTCAGATAACTAATTTTATAAACACCAAATTACCATTAATAAAATCTATTATAATAATACAATATCTAATAATCATATCAAAAAATTTAAAAAAAACAGTCAAGATAACTGTAATCACAAATATGATGACACTTTTATCAATAGTAATTATTTTGACAACTATATATAAAAAAACAAAATATAATAAAATTATTTTATTATTTATATATAATAATGAATTATTAATATTAATCAATAAATATAATACAAATTTACTATAACAAGTTAAAATCATTTCAACACAAAAAAAATTATACTAATAATTTTATTTTTTATTTTCTTCTATGTACTACATTTAATTACAAATTAATTACAAATTTATTACATTATTTTATTATACATACAATTTTTAATTTTTATTAACTTTTGCATTTTTATGTATTACTTTAATTCTAACTGATGATCTAATTAATTAATATTTTATGATAAAATTGCAATTATAATTAAACTATACAAATATTAAACATTGCACTTATTTTATATTAACCAAACTATATATTACTCTAATTAACATATTTTTTCTATTAAATAAATTCAAATGCAATTACAATTGTCATAAAATATATAGATTACTAAGATTTTATATATTTAATATGAAATAACTATAATACTATAAAACTTATAATACAGACCTATTAATGATCATGAATTCAATACCAACTGGTTAAAGGAATATGAACTAAAAGCTACCACTAGTTTAGACTATTATAATTTAGCCTTGGCTGAATTTTCACTTGATAAAATTACTAGAACTTTCAATCAACTTTCCAATAACAAAGCATATGAACCATCTGGAATTAGCTATAAAATGCTTAAACAGGCTGGCCCTACCTTTCTTTAAGCAATAGTTGCTCTTTTAATCGATGCATCCAAACTTCTCACATACCTAAGCAATAGAAAGAAGTTTGCATCTTTCCAATATCCAAAAAACCTATTTTTAATAGAAACCTTTCTAATACAAGACCTATCAGCCTTGTTGAACATATTAAAAAACTATACACAAAACTTCTTACTAACTGTCTTAATTTAATACTCATACAACATTCTATCCTATCTTCTTAAAACTATATCTCTCTATCTGGCAACAGCACATCCATTCCTATACACATAC